ACTCTGAACACTAGTCAATGGACATCGGTTACAAGCCTCCTAGGAGACGGTTACAACTCTGAACGCTAGTCAATGGACTAACACGGATGTGTTAGTCTAAGTCTGTAAATTGTCTTCTCTTGCAAAATCTCTGCTGCCAACTTTTAGTCCGCCGTGTTGAAAACCTATGGCAACTAGTAATAGTTTAGACTACAGATAGAGTTGTGTTTGGGATACATTTGTAACATTAACAAATTCAGATTTTGTTCAAAATTGATATTTTTCTAATTTTTGTTTTAAAATTGAGATTATGGATGCATCACTGCCATCTCTATTAATGTCTTTGTCCTATGACCGCGAGTCGATTTTTCTGTGCAATTTTTCTCTTCGACATCAGATTGCATCACAGGGGCAGCAGAGAGAGCACCAACAGTCACCCCAAACCCCCTGCGACGGAGGAGCAGCCAAGGCACGAAGGCAAACTGTCTACTCCCTCCGTTCTAAATTACTTGTTTTACATTTGTCTAGATATAGAGGTATCTAGCACTAAAATAAGTCTAGATACATCCATATCTAGACAAATCTAAGACAAGTAATTCGGAACGGAGGGAGTACATGGCAACGCTGATCCGTCGGCAGCCTCCCACGCCACAACACGCATCCTCGCTACGACACTGAGGGCATCGGAGAGGGAGGGGGCACGCCCTTTAAAGACCACGGCAATGAGACAGACCACCGCATTTCGGTGCTTCCATCAATGAGACAGACCACGGCACTCCGATGCTTCCATCAATGAGATATCAAAAGAGATGCCGATCGTGAACAGAAGTCTGACCCCACAATCACGCTGGCAAACAGGCAACCCAAGACAAAGTGGTCCACCGGCTTGGGGGTCGAGGGACAGAGGCGGCAGCCTGCCTCGATGATCGTCTTCCGTAGCGGGATCTCCCGTGTTGATGCGGGCGAGCACGAGCGGCCAGCCGAAGAATTTGACTCTCAACAGCGCATCCGCTGAGCCGCACAAGAGCGTCCATGCTGCTAGTAGAGGGCTACTCGTGGAGAGGTCATTGTGAGGAGCCGAGCCGAGCATGAGCCGACGCTCGTCATCATGACGCACCGCAAACACCCAGCTCAGCTGGTGGAGCAGGAAGGCACACTGCCTCGTCCCAGACTAGATGAGTTGAGGCACCAGCGCGCCCATCCAACTCGTGTGTTTGGACATGTCAAGCTGTAGCATTAATCACTCACCTGTGTCCAGCATCGTAGGGACTCTTTTCAGAGGATGGGCGGGGCGCATTGGATGAGCATCTGCTTCGCTACTTGACCGAAAGGAACATCAATCTATATCTTCATCTATGAAGCACCGATACGACGACACTGACACATCAATACGAGTACGAGGATACGAGACACGACAATATGTGCTTGCGACGGCGACCAGATGGCCGTTATGCTGCAACCTGCCAAACGCAAGCTGTGCGAGGCAATTTGCTCTCCGCTCGTGCGTGGATGGAGGGTTAGCTGCGCCTGGCAGAGAGGGTGCAAGATGAAGACAACGCGAGGAGCACCTTTCAACGGTCTTGTGGTTGGATGGTTAGGAGGACGGTGGTATCCCCAGCCCATCGAGGTTCAAATCCTGATGCTCGTGTTTATCTTGGATTTATTTCAGGATTTTCGGCGATGTACATTTCGTGGGAGGAGACGTTCCCGTTGACTACGAGGCGCCTACGGTGACTCCGTAAAATCTTAAGATGATATGTCGGTTCAGTCTCTTGGAGATACTCATAGGGGTAGGATATGTGTGTGTGTTCATAGGGGTGAGTGTATGCATGCATATATGAGCGCTTGCGGCTGTATTGTGTTAAAAACGGCTACCCTTTGTAACACCTACGATGCGGCTATATCTCCCACGTGTCGGAGCACGACTTAGAGGCATAACCGCATAGTAGGCATGCCGCAAGAGGGGTAATCTTTACGCATCCCATGTACTGAATATGAAAGGGATAAAGAGTTGGCTTACAATCGCCACTTCAAACAATACATAAATATATCATACAACATTCAGAATACAATCAAGGTCCGACTACGGAACCAAAATAAAGAAAAGATAACCCCAATTGCTAGATCCCCGATCGACCCAACTGGGCCCCACTACTGATCAAAAGGAAATGAAACACAACAACGAAAAGGTCTTCATCGAGCTCCCACTTGAGCTCGGTTGCGTCATCTGCACTGGTTTCATCGGCACCTGCAAACTGGTTTTGGAAGTAACTGTGAGTCACGGGGACTCAGCAATCTCACACCCTCGCGATCAAGACTATTTAAGCTTAAGGGTAGGAAAAGGTAGTGAGGTGGAGCTGCAGCAAGCACTAGCATATATGGTGGCTAACTTACGCAAATGAGAGCGAGAAGAGAAGCAAAGCAACGGTCGTGAAGCTAGAAGTGATCACAATCCTGAAACTACTTACGCACAAACATAACTCCAAAGCCGTGTTCACTTCCCGGACTCCGCCGAGAAGAGACCACCACAGCTACACACGCGGTTGATTCATTTTAGTTAAGTCAAGTGTCAAGTTCTCTACAATCGGATATTAACAAATTCCCATCTGCCCATAACCGCGGGCATGGCTTTCGAAAGTTCAAAACCCTACAGGGGTGTCCCAACTTAGCCCATCACAAGCTCTCATGGTCAACGAAGGATATTCCTTCTCCCAGGAAGACCCGATCAGACTCGGAATCCCGGTTACAAGACATTTTGACAATGGTAAAACAAGACCAGCAAAGCCACCCGAATGTGCCGACAAATCCCGATAGGAGCTGCACATATCTCGTTCTCAGGGCACACCGGATGGGCAAGACGTCGGGTTGGCATAAACCCTGGTTGCCCAGGGGGCGCTGGACATCGCCCAGTTTGGACCAACACTCAGAGGAGCACTGGCCCGGGGGTTTAAAATAAAGATGACCCTTGAGTCTGCAGAACCCAAGGGAAAAAGGCTTAGGTGGCAAATGGTAAAACCAAGGTTGGGCCTTGCTGGAGGAGTTTTATTCAAGGCGAACTGTCAAGGGGTTCCCATTATAACCCAACTACGTAAGGAACGCAAAATGAAGGAACATAACACCGGTATGACGGGAACTAGGGCGGCAAGAGTGGAACAAAACACCAGGCATAAGGCCGAGCCTTCCACCCTTTACCAAGTATATAGGTGCATTAAAGTAAACAAGATATAATAGTAATGATATCCCAACAATATCCATGTTCCAACTGTTGGGTTTCGTAGTAATTTCAAAAAATTTCCTACGCGCATGCAAGATCATGGTGATGCATAGCAACGAGAGGGGAGAGTATGATCTACGTACCCTTGTAGATCGACAACGGAAGCGTTTGGTTGATGTAGTCGTACGTCTCCACGGCCCGACCGATCAAGCACCGAAACTACGGTACCTCCGAGTTCTAGCACACGTTCAGCTCGATGACGATCCCCGGACTCCGATCCAGCAAAGTGTCGGGGAAGAGTTCCGTCAGCCCGACGGCGTGGTGACGATCTTGATGTACTACCGTCGCAGGGCTTCGCCTAAGCACCGCTACAATATTATCGAGGACTATGGTGGAAGGGGGCACCGCACACGGCTAAGAATATGATCACGTGGATCAACTTGTGTCTCTAGGGGTGCCCCTGCCTCCGTATATAAAGGTTCAAGGGAGGGGGGCCGGCCAGCCAAGGTGTGGCGCGCCAGGAGGAGTCCTACTCCTTCTGGGAGTAGGACTCCCCCCTTTCCTAGTTGGAATAGGATTCGTGGAGGGGGGGGGGGAAGAGGAGAGAGAGGAGGAAGGGGGGCCGACCCCCTCTCCTTGTCCAATTCGGACCAAGGGGGGGAGGGGCGCGCGGCCCATCTCTGGCCACCTCTCCTCTCTTCCACTAAGGCCCACTAAGGCCCATACACCTCCCAGGGGGTTCCGGTAACCTCCCGGTACTCCGGTAAAATCCCGATTTCACCCGGAACACTTCCGATATCCAAACATAGGCTTCCAATATATCAATCTTTATGTCTCGACCATTTCGAGACTCCTCGTCATGTCCGTGATCACATCTGGGACTCCGAACAACCTTCGATACATCAAAAAGCATAAACTCATAATATAACTGTCATCGTAACCTTAAGCGTGCGGACCCTACGGGTTCGAGAACAATGTAGACATGACCGAAACACGTCTTCGGTCAATAACCAATAGCGGAACCTGGATGCTCATATTGGCTCCTACATATTCTATGAAGATCTTTTATCGGTCAGACTGCATAACAACATACGTTGTTCCCTTTGTCATTGGTATGTTACTTGCCCGAGATTCGATCGTCGGTATCCTATACCTAGTTCAATCTCGTTACCGGCAAGTCTCTTTACTCGT